TATTATATATATATATATATATATATATATATATATATATATATATATATATATATATATAGATAGATAGATAGAGAGAGAGGGAGAGTGAGAGATATTATTGTGTGTGTGTGTATAGATAGATAGATAGATAGATAAATATATATATATATATATATATATATATATGCACACTGAATTCCATCCTCAATGACCTATTAACGGCAGCTATCATATATATATATATATATATATATATATATATATATATATATGTATATATATATATATGTATATATATATATATGTATATATATATATATATATATATATATATATATATATATATATATATATATGTGTGTGTGTGTGTGTGTGTGTAAGCAAATATAGGATATAGATTCGACAGTATGAAGAAAATATACTTGAAAAACAAATGTTGACAAAAATCCTAATATACGATTATGCTGTTTTAATGATAATGTCAACGTTTAATGTCCATCGTCTTTTTCATGTTGAATTGTATATGGTCTATGTTAATTATGTTTTATAAATATGTCCTGAAGATGGTCTATTAGACCGAAACGTCCGACGTTGACATTAAACATTAAAACAGCATAATCGCATATTAGGAATTTTATTTGTTTTTTCAGTATATTTTTCTTCATATATATATATATATATATATATATGCAGACAAACATACTGACATAATGTATATGTGTGTGTGTATGTGTGTGTGTGTGTGTGTGTGTGTGTGTGTGTGTGTGTGTGTGTCTGCGTGTGTGTGTGCAAATATATAGAAAAATAGGAAAGAACACGTTAGGTAAATAATCTAGAGTTCTTTAGTATTTTTGTTTATAATATTTTTTTAAAAATAAAACAGTGCTCCATACTAACGTACAGCTTAAATTATTTTTTTTTAAATATTTATTTCTTTTTTTTTTAATATAATGTTTTATTGTTTTTTTTAATATATGATAATAATTTTTTTTAAGATATGATTCCTCGTGAAGGAATCATATTTTTTAATATATATATATATATATATATATATATATATATATATATATATATATATATATATATATATAACTTTTATATATTTTTCCTTAAAGACGACTGACAAGGTGCAATGAATAAGGTATTTCATTTAGTTTTTCTTGTATTCCAAACATTCTTTTCTGGACACAAAGTGTGTGAAAGTGTCCAAAAATTCTGCATTTCCCAGTGCTTTTAGCTCTACTTTTACCCATTCTCAAAGATGTTTTTACTTTTTAACTGAATATATGGGTTGTGTTAGGTATGTATCTAGAATTATAGGAATGCTTTATTATACAAAGTCAGCACATTTTTACTGAGGATACATTGACGATATTTCTTTTTTTTATTAGGGCTTTCATTATTTTTAAAGTTTGACTTTTTACTAGTATATTTCCGATGGAGTTTGGTAGGTTTTGGGGATTCTTTGAAGGACGTCTAAAACTAAATAAAAAGATTTATGACAGTCGTCTTTCACGAAACATATATAAAAGAGGTATTGCTGCCTATACACACAAGGTATATATATATATATATATATATATATATTAGTGAATATACATAATATCCCATGACAGTATTTATCGATCCACCCACGAGGATAGAATGTGGCACAAGGCCGGTTTAATGTGGGTATCACCGAGCCCGTAGGCTCGGCCAAAAATATAGCCTTTTTGAACCCGCCTTTGACGGATTCAGGCCCTGTTTTTTTCCAGGACGAAACCTTGCTTTCGGCAAAGCTTTCTTTCCTCTCTGTTAATGCAGAGTTCGACAGACACCGACTCGAAACTCACAAAGGCAGCGTACTACACTTTGATCCTAGCTTCCGGCCGAGCAGCATAATATCCCATGTCGATAGCATATATATATACACAAATATATACTTATAGATCTATTTGTATATGTGTATGTGTGTGTGCGTGTTCGTGTGAGCGTATATATATATATATATATATACTATACTATACCTCCGCAGGTTTCAGGTCAGAGTCGTCCTTCGTAGTCCGTATATATATATATATATATATATATATATATATATATATATATATATATATATATATATACATGAAGAAATATAGTCTTAATATACTATATTTATGGGATAAAGTGCTCAATATCAGAGATAGAGCGTGTGTAAATATAAAAGTGAACACTGAAGTCAACATTTAGAGGCTACTGGCTGTTTCATGCTAGACTCACTCGTCAGACCACGAGTGTTGTTTTTTTTTTACTCAGCTATTTCTATATACGTGGTGCATTGTGGGTAGTCTATTTTGGCGTTTTTTTTTTTTGCCGGGAGTCGTTTATTTGTTTATTTATTTATTTGGGTTAAATTATTTTGCTTGTTTTTATTTATTTTTATTTTTTAATATTTTTTTTAATTTTTATTTCTTATCTTGTATATTTATTTATTTTAATTTTAATCGGTGTTTTATTAGCGTAGTAAAAATTTGTTTATATCGCTTACGTAATAGTTTTGTTTTGTTAATTAAACCTATTTATTCAATTTTGGGGTAGATTGATGTAGAGTGTTCTATTATTTTGGCGGGATCAGTTTTTTTTTTAAAATACAAACAACCACATTTAGCCAATTAAAGAAATACTAGATGTGATCTGAAACAACTCAAGTAAATATGTCATGGCGAATTTTAAAAAAAACAGGGATAGTCTCATATATATATATATATATATATATATATATATATATATATATATATATATATATATATATAATTGTTATTTATAAAAAATTATAACAATTATTTAATATTTATTATATAATTATTTAAAGATCTGAATAGCTATTATAACATGATTTCGTTGTCAAGCTTTTGAATCTTTCTATACTTGGTTTTTGATTGGTTATTCTAGCTTTTGTAACAATGTTTCCCCCCAGTGTAGGATCGTTAATTAATCTGAAACTTTTAAAGCCATTTATTTTATCTTCAACATCATCACTTGAGTGTGTTGAAACAAAATG